TCTCCCTAAAATTCTGTGCATTCTTTGGCACTCCCCAATTTATATTCCTCTATATTTCAAAATTATTGACTCTCTTCTTCAATCATTTATCTGGGGAAGCAGTTATCTCAAATTATCCCTTGAAGAACCCTACAACATTAGGGGACACTTCTCCCCCTGACCTGGGCTTATACTACTTAGCAGCTCAATTGTCTCACTTATATCACTTTGATAAATCTGATAGGCAAATGTATCTCTCTTTAGTTTGTGACCCTTCCTGTTCAGCTTTTCCACACCCCTATTGTGATATCTTGAGAGGACTAAGAGGCTCTCATGATGCTGATGCTCACCACAGTCTTCCTTTTCATTACAGATGGATTTGGGACCTTGTAATGTTCTGAATCCTTGGTTTATCATAGTGACAATTCCTTATCCCTTAGCAAAACACTACACAAATTATTGCAGATCCCTGATCCGCAGGTGTGGATCTCCAAAGGCGTATATATGTTATCTCGTGTACTTAGGGGTGGATCACTTAAAACATTTGATCAATTGAAAGCCGAATTACATTTACCGAACTACATGTTGTTTTAATATTTTCAACTTCAGCATGCCCTTCAAACTCAATTTTCTGGTAGTTTCCCTACGGTGTCCCTGCTGGAGACACTAGAAGTGATTTATGGTGATAAATCTCATAAACTGATCTCTACCTTTTATTATATATTGCTTTCCCTAGCTGTATCTCAATTAGCATACTCATTTAAGTCGCATTGGGAAGAGAATACTGGTGTTATCGAGAATGAGGACTGGGGCGAAATATTAGAGGCCTGTAAACGAGTATCCCCCAAGGTATCAGACCACCTCATGAAATTATATATTATTCACAGGACAAACATCACTCCGTTGCGCTTAGCTAAATTCTGCCCATCTCATAGCGCATTGTGCCTTAAATGCCTTATTGCTCCAGGCACATTTAGTCATTTAACCTGGCAATGTCCTCTGATTCAGGGTTTTTGGAAAAAAGTTGTTCAATTTCTCTATGACCACATCCACATGGGTTCTCCACTGCAACTACACCCCAAGCAATGCCTTTTAGGCTTTTTTATGGAATCTGATATGGATAAACATTCTATAAAATTTCTACATGAAACTTTGCAGCCAGGAAGTTGATACCTAGAGGTTGGTTTCAGGCTGTACCTCCCACTATACAGGCTTGGATGTCTGAAATTAATACTTTACCCTAAAAAAAGTTATCTATATTAACAGAGTCTGCCAGAACAATTACTATATGATTTGGCATAGGTGGTTACAGGCTGATACCACATGTACCTCTTAAAGAGTACACATAGTTTTGCTACCTCTCAATGTGTCATACAATTTCCTGCAAAGGTATTTATGTTAATCCCGTTATAGCTATTTCCTCACACGTGAAGTCTCAGGGATTTGTGTATCATGCACATTGTATTGCTGTGTATTTTGTATCTCAGTTATTGTGGATATCTGTCTATTCTACTTTATGTACTTACTGTTATTGTGAGAGAAGCTACCATGCCTTGTTTGAGCCTTTTCGTTTTACTGTTTTTTGGACTATTATTTGTATTCGCTTATCTCAATGAAACTGGATTCTTTGATAAAAAAAAAGTTAGAGAAATAAGGTGTAATACTTACCTTATTCGTTGCTCCAGCTGGCTTTCTCCATCTGTGCAACTGGTCCCTGAATCCTTCTCTCTAAGGCACTCCGGATGGCAGTCACATCAAGTACAATTTAAGACCAATAGTCTTGCATTGTATGTGAGGACCTCAAGGGTGTCAGAGACAAAGAGTTGAGTGCTGGAGCCTTCTGGAGCAAGGGATAGAGTAAGTATACACCTTATTCATCAGTCCCTTGCTGAAAGGATTTTTTTTACAGACCCCAGAGTTCAGTTTTAAGTGAAACCAAGCAATGTGCTACTAACACTAATAATATCCACCACCCTGCAGGTGGGCAAAAGGTAAAGTTTGCTCAATGTATTCTGAACATTATGCAATTCATTATATACACAGTACCTACAGATCAACACAGAAAGCAGTAGGAGAGAACAAATAATAATCAAACTTCCCAAGCAGGTCTGAATATGAATGGTAAGAAACATCTTAGTACTGAACCTTTTTTTACACCAAGCTTCTTGAATTTGATAGCAACAAGGATATACCAGAAGTTATTTTCCAAGATTTCAGATTGTAGCTAAAGGAAACTGGGGTAGAATGGTGCACTACAGCATTGTCTGGAAAAAAACAAAACTGAAATACTAAACAGTCAGGCTGTGCTCCCTGCAGGTATCTCAAGACAGGGTATACATGGCCAAAAATAGTCTGGCTTAGTAGGAGCCAGCAAAATGTTGCTTCATGTGTACTGCTGTCTATTGTACAGAAGCTGGTCCAGCGATCGGCTTCTCTCAAATGGTCCTGCTGGAAAACCAGCATTTGATCAGCACTTGCAGTGCTGATCTATATATTCTGGCAGGGAAGAGGGGAGTCCCAGAGTCCCTAAGTCCCTCTTTTCAGGATACAATAGCATGGTAGGGAAGATCCCTGCATCCACATCACTTGTGTTGATTCATAGAACTGTCAGTTTTTTTTTTTTTTTTTTTTTTTTCGTTTAACCCACAGCAGAAAAAAACCGCTGCTAATCAAAGTAAACACTACACATATGGGGGTTTATTTACTAAAGCTGGAGAGTGCAAAATCAGGCTCACTTCTACATAGAAACCAATCAGCTTCCAGGTTTTATTGCCAAAGCTTATTTGAACAAGCTGAGGTTAGAAGATGATTGGTTTCTATGCAGAAGTGAGCCTGTTTTTGCACTCACCAGTTTTAGTAAATAAACACCACAGTGTCACAGTATAAATAGTGAAAAAATTAGCGATAATGTACAAAGTCAAAAAAGCTAATTGCAGATAATCAGATTTCAGTATAACATAATTGAATTCCATTGCTATGAACAGCAGTTATTCATACCACACTTAGTTTTTTTTTAATAAGCCACACCTTTTTGAATAGTATGCCAACTACCCCAAATTATAAATGCAGTCTGCTGTCAGTATGTAAATGCCCATAAATGCATGTACACCAGGTACCGTATTTTCCGGCGTATAAGACGACTTTTTACCCCTTGAAAATCTTCTCAAAAGTCGGGGGTCGTCTGATACGCTGGTTACGGCATGCTGACACTTTTTAGGGGGGCCGCGCGGTGCCGCCGCCACCCACCCCCCCTTCCAACAGAAGGGAAACTAAGTATAGGGGTGGGCAGGGGCTGCTGTCTCTTACCTGGCTCCGGTCCCACCACGATCCGGTCCAGGAAGAGCGGCTGCTCCTTCATTCAGTTCGTCCACTGAATGTTCGCGCGGCTGCTCGGCTCTGCCTCCTCACCGGTTATTGGCCGCCAGAACTGTAACTCAGGAAAGGCACACAGGCGGCCAATCACCGGCGAGGAGGCGGAGCTGAGCGGCCCCGCGAAAATCAAGTGAAGGAGATGCAGGTAAGTGTGCCGTGCTTAGGTGCTGCTGCAACCACATATGCTGGCTGCAGCAGCACCATACTGAAACAGGGGTCAGCAAGTGTCAGTGGGAGGAATAGTGCCCCATCATTGGTGTCACTGATACCAATGATGGGGCATTATTCCTCCCACTGACACCAACGATGGGGCACTTTTCCTCCCCCCTACTGACACCAACGATTGGGCACTATTCCTCCCCCCACTGACACCAATCATGGAGCACTATTCCACCCCCCCACTGACACCAATGATGGGATACTATTCCTCCCCCCCCCCCACTGACACCAACGATGGGGCACTTTTCCTCCCCCCCACTGACACCAACGATGGGGCACTTTTCCTCCCCCCCACTGACACCAATGATGGGGCACTATTCCTCCCCCCCCCCCCACTGACACCAATGATGGGGCACTATTCCACCCCCCACTGACACCAATGATGGGGCACTATTCCACCCCCCACTGACACCAACGATGGGGCACTATTCTCCCCCCCCCCCCACTGACACCAATGATGGGATACTATTCCTCCCACTGACACCAATGTTGGGACACTATTCCTCCCACTGACACCAATGATGGGACACTATTCCTCCCACTGACACCAAAGATGGGGCACTATTCCACTGACACCAATGATGGGGTGCTATTCCCCCCACTGATACTAATAATGGGGCACTATTCCTGCCACTGATACCAATGATGGGGCACGATTCCTCCCACTGACACCAATGATAGGGCGCTATTCCTCCCACTGACACCAATGATGGGGCGCTATTCCTCCCACTGACACCAATGATGGGGTGCTATTCCTCCCACTGACACCAATGATGGGGCACTATTCCTCCCACTAATACCAATGATAGGGCACTATTCCTCCCACTGACACCAATGATGGGGCACGATTCTTCCCACTGGTGTGCACTGGAAGAGGGGTCGTCTTATACGCCCAGTCGTCTTATACGCCGGAAAATACGGTACATGGGTTTATTGCCACACAAAATATACTTTGATTGTGGGTGAAAGTCAAGACACCACAAATGACATTCAATAAAAAGTACTGCAGTCCCAGTGTCAGACCCACAAATTTAGAAGCCCTGATTGCACACCAAAATATCAGATTAAATGCTTTTGTGAAACATCTGAGAACAGAAAGGTTCAGTTGAACCTTTCCACCAGAATGGTTTGTATTCACTATTCAACAAAAAAAAAAAAAAACTACAATAGTAACAAAAAAATCTGAATGACCTTGAGTTTAAACAAAGAGAATGGAACTAAGTGAGGAGATCTTAATATTCAGATGGAAAGAAAACTACAGAATACACTTTTTTTCCTTCGGTTAGCTTTATCCTGGCTTTTTAACGTTTTCCTTCTTCCACTTCTGATGAGGAGTTAATGCAATATACTTTCATTCCAATTTTTACAGGGCTTGAATATTTTACTAGCTGATGTTTTTTTTCCAAAGAAATTCACTGTGGATTTTTTTTTCACTGGAATAATATAACTTTAGGAAACAATATGAGGATTGCATTTTGTTTCTCTCCTGCAGAAAGTTCCAACTTCATCACACAAGCCACAAAACTAACACATAACATGCTCTTTGTTAGGGTTCCACAGAACTGAATTTGACATCTCTTTCTTGTGGGCCAAACAAAACTTACGTTTGGAAGAGCAAGCTTGTAGGCACTCATTCTCAGTGCTAAATCTGTTCCCGTTGCCATCGCAACCTCCATACCAGAACTGGGAGCATGCATCAACATCTTTTATATAGTACCACAAGCGCTGGAAGTCCCTGCATGTTGTGCCTTGGTCCACATCCAATAGGCACTTCTCTGCAACTAAAAGAAGCAGGGTTAAACAGAAATGCCCTCACTACTACTAGTGCCTACATACGTCACATCTAGTATAATATAACTTTTCTTTAGCTTTCTTTAAAATAGGCTGTGCCTAAAACAACATAATTTCCTGCTTTTTTCAGTTTTTTCTTGATTTCTGTGATATAGTTAACTGGTTTTAAAGCTGAACTAAAATAAAAGAGAAATTGAAATAAAGGAGAGAAATTATTTCTTCCATGAGAAAAGGAGCTTAAAGTGTTACTAAACCCTGGACCCTGCATTCGCATATATCTGGTCTCCCACAGTACACAGAACATGGAAATGCAATTATTTTAGTAAATATAAACTGTTTAAAACCTTTTCTCCTCAGCAGTTAAAGCAGTCTTGTGGCTTCTATCAGTGTCCAGCCCACCGCTAGTTAAGGCTTGTAGGAGGAGTTTTCTTTCTGCTCTAGGAGGATGGAAATCCCCTGACCTCTGTCTGATCAGGACTGATTGACCCTGTTCTGATCACATGCACTCTTCCAAGAAAAAAAAGAGCAGTCGTGTGACTTCTATCAGTGTCCAGCAGAGCACATTTTAAAGATTATAGGAGGAGTTTTCATTCTGCTCTAGGAAGATGCAGGACCCCAGACCTCTGTCTGGTCAGTGCTTATTGGTCCTGTGCTGATCACATGCACTCTCCCAAGAAAAACAAACACACTCTATCAATACACACCGAACTGAGCATTTACAGAGTGACTCCATGCGATATGTTTTATCAGGAGTTAAGAGGGGGACACTGGAAAAAGGGGAGGATCAGAAAAGTCAGGATCAAACAGCTTTTTAACACAATGCAGAAGAATAATCCCTTAGATTCCACAGTGAGTATAAGAAGCATGCTTTACTGCATATACAGACTGATTTTACTGTTGTGGGTTTAGTAACACCTTTACTGTTACTTCTCACTGGAAGACATGGCTAAATCTTATTTTTAACACACAAATTTCCATAGGCAGTACCACACAGGAAAGACATTTTAAAATACTAACAAGGTGGTGTTCTTACCCTCGCCTTCTATGCAAAATATTTCCCAGCAAGCAGTCCTGACACATACTGGCATTGGTTAGCTTCGCTGGGACACTATGGCCCACATTTGGTGGGAATGTTCTGTTATGCCACTTTTGGGATACCGATTTTGATTTATAAATAAAAATAACATCCAACCACATTCCTAAAATCTTTGCAAACAAGACTTCTCTCCATGATCCCAGGTTCACTTAAAGTCAAGCAAGGGCTTCTTCCTCATTACAGATCATGCTGTGATTCCTAGACACTGGAAATCAACATTTCCATCTACTGTAAGAGAATGGGCTGACGCATTAAACACTCTGATGCAGTTGGAAGAACCTGCAGCCCAATTACATGATTGATACTCACAGTTGTCTGAAGTGTGGCTTTCTTGGTTGATGTTTTGTAGCAGTTGTGATTTTGCTTCACTAGTGACTTAAGTGATCTACTTTCCTCCTCAGTCCTTCCCAACTTTTACCTTATATGTTAGCACAGTGTTTCTCAACCTTTTTTCATTTAAGGCAACCTTTATAATTATGGACAGTTTTGAGGCCCCCCTCTAAAATAATGGACAGTCTCGATGCACCCTTTAAAATTATGGACAGTCTCGAGAAACCCCATTCGGAAATGTAAAAAAGTATTCAAATAGTTTTATATGACACAGCAACATCCACACACGTAGGGCACCCAATGTCAGAGGTGATTTATTCTTCCAAAGCAAATACACTTTTTCACACTGGTACTGACTACTATTCCAATGCCTCTTTTCTCCCTCAATGTTTCTCCATCCCTCAGCTAATGTTACCCCAGCACTGATGGAGAGGGACAGGGGAGGGTCAAACAAGGATGCTGTGCAGGCAACCAACATCCTCCTTATCAACTGATGATGTCGTTGGTTGTTAGGACACCGGCGGGTAGAAGGTCGTAATGGTGCACATTGAAAACCTCTGTTTTTTTGTAACTAAAAGGTAGGCTTGTTCCACCCACTGTATTTATATACAAATTTTGGGCACTTTATAGACATTTTGCCAAGGCACCCCTTAAGAAACCCCAAGGCACCCTAGTTGAAAAAGGTTTTGTTAGCATACTCAGCCCTCACCCAATGAACACTGATGGGTAATCCTCTCCTTGATACCCCTAATGTTCCCTCCCCCTTTGTTTCAGCCGCTTTGTTCCAACCTCCATCTCCAACTTTTCATACACCCTTGATTCATGCTCCTGCTTCACATTGGTCCTTAAATGTATCATATAGACTAGGGTTTAGCCTATTAATCCCCATATTTACTTCCCCCTGAATCACTCCACTTATCCTTACACAGACCCTTGGCTACAACAGGAAAAGAGATGAAATCCCTCAAAAAGTGAGGAAATTCCAGGTTGTCACCAGGGTCAGCAAAGTGAATGTCCCCATTGGAAGATTTCTCCTTTATTATTGTTCAGGGAACAACTCAAAATTTAGAATTTTGTTTACTTTTAGTTATAATGATAAACATGACAAATAGAGATTGCAAATGGGGCACAGGCAGCAATAACAACCCTGAAAGGTGTTCTAATCCCTCTCCACTCTATTTAATATGAACCCCTTCATGCCAGCGCCTCCCGACACTTTAAGGGGTTTCTGACACCGGGAGGCGGGGGTGGGGTTTAGGGTCATGTGACCGCAGTGATTGGCTGTCACAGCAGTCACAGGATTGGAAAGGTCCCAATTGCAAGGAGAGATCGGGACCTTTCCGTGGGACGCCGACATAAATGGTTCGCAAATATGTGGCTGTTTGGCGTCAAGGCCCAGCCGCTGAGAGGCTGCATATTTGTGTACGGTCGGCATGAAGAGGTTAAAAACAAAATGCCTTTAGTTATACTTTAAATACATTTTTGCAAACGCAAGCCAAGTAACTTCCTGCATTTGATTGGTGCCAACCTCCTAATACAGCAGAATTTAGATGATCATGTGCCGGCAAGAGACATGCTGATAGGTGGAGAGAGCAAAGTGGCAGAGATATGAGCTCCTCAGTCTGTGACTATTCATTTCACTGTACGGTCACAGGTTGGGGGAAGAAAAAGATCTGCAAGTATCAATTAGCTGTGGCAGAGAAAAATCAAGTTTTCTGCCCAGTGCTGATCCTGTCTTTAATTTTGTTAGAACTTATGACTAGTGATATTTCATGCTGTTCTGTTTGTCCAAAGTAGTGTCCAGTGCAGTGGATTGTGTTCTGCCCAGCACAGTCCTAACGCACCTGGTGTGAACGAGTCCTATATCTGAGGACTGGATGGACAAAAATACCAATGTTTTGGTAGGTAAAACAGCCTACACAGCATTCTCTGAGATCTGACATGGATAGCAGGATGGCATCACCCTTGCCATGCCCTGCAAGAGGAAGCTGTGGAAAGGGAAAGGTACGTATCCTATCTAACTCTTAATCCACACATTTATTTTTTGTAGAGGTACAAAGTCCACTTTAAGTGATATTTCACTGGTTTCAGATCCAGATTGTGCTGCCTTACTGAATACATTTTTATAGCCCATTAAACCTGTTGTAATATCAAACATCCCACTAGGTTCAGAATAAATGTTATTTTATATTTCCCTTTCTCTGACTGGGTGTTTGAAAGAAGAAAGTCTTATTGGCAAGGATAAAATAAAGCTTAGCTTCAGGCAGATATAAAACTGCCATTTAATCTAGTAACCTGCCATTTAAAAAATGTATCTAATGTATTTTATACATGACTACCATAAATACTAGAATCTGTTTTAATATCAACCATCTGTTATATCCTGCACTGTAGGATTTGCAAGAAAAGAAAGAGAGGCAGCATTCTGAGCCAGTCTGGTTATACAACAGTATACAGTACTGTCAGTCTCCTTCCGGAGCAAACTTACAGTACATTAGAGAAAACAATAGGTTTGAACTCATTAGTATGCTTTTGCTCCTTATTGCCCTATCACTTCGGGGCATCGAGGTCAGTAACTGTGAATCCTGAACTGCTTGTGCAAAAAAGAATAGAAAGAACACAAGCTCATCTCACATAGTGATTTAAAATCCAGGACACGATGTGGGTAGGACACCACGCACATGGAAGTTTTTTCACTTCACCTCTTGCCTTTCCTACATGAGGCCCATTCTTCTTGTTTCTTCATATATAGCTTACCCCCCTGAGGCCCAGTTCCAACCCTTCAATCCCTATACGTCCCCCCCCCCTCGCTTTCTTTTGTTGGTTTTGGTTTATAATGTTTTCAGTTTCTGGGTTTCTCAACGAGCCCCCTTTATGTTATTTGCCCATACTAAGTGAAAATATACCCCCTTGAGGGGTTTCACGTGGGCTCCTCTACTTCTCAAGATGTACTCAAATAGTTTTCTTAATAAATATTTACCTACATATACAAGAATGATTTCTTACTCTTGTGATGTAGAGTTTACTGTCATCAAGAGAACATAAATAAAAATATATTCAACCTAAAATCCAGGACACATCTATAAAAATTTTAAAATAATCAACAACAGCAATCCTTCCTGAGTCAGGACCCCTGCATCTTCAGCACAGCTAGCACACTTCATTCAAGTCTAATACATAATACACTATTTGACAACTTCTGATGTGTTTGGAGTGCAAACTGCACCCTTTCTAAAAAAAAAAAAAAAAAAAAAAAAACACAGTCTACCTACAGTATATACCTCATAAACTCTTTCTCTCCCAGGAAGTAGTTAAAATCAAATTAAATAATAGGATGAAACCTATCCATTTTATATATCCGCTGTCATGTGAGCCAAATATGGCAACGATAAGCAGAGGCAGCAATTAAAGCAATATTAAACCCAAAAGAAAACATTTATTATATTGCAGCTTTCAAGTTCTTAGAGGTGATGGCTGCATTATTCTTTAGGTTTTCCCTCTTTTATTTTCACCTAGTGATCCTGCCAGTAGATCTGTTGTTTTTCAACAGAACAAGCTACCCTGCAGGTATAGGAGTTAGAGAAATGAGACAAACCATTTACTTCAGGGTACCCACAGTGATCAGCTTTTATTCAGTTATGTAAAACCTTTAAAAAATTTTTTGCTGTAACTGCGTATAAAGCACTAGCTGGAGTTTTGCTTAAGTTTGTTAGTGTATTTAAAGCTGCTAGTCCACCTGGCCAGAACACCAGGTGAAATCAGAAAGAAAAAATCCTAGAAAAAAAAAAGAAAATGTGAAGAGCAGGGCCTGGCAGCTAAGGGGTTAAGGGACAACTTGTACTAAAGGTCCAAGATAAAACAAGCTTCTATAGCCCTTAGTAGCTATTTAAACCTCATTGCACCATTAAAATCCACCAAAACACCCTTAATTTGATCTTTCCCATTGATCCCAAAGCATTTTGCAATAATAGCAAATTTCTGCAGAAGTCTTTCAATTCATGCCAACATTTTGGAGAAACGAAACTCATTGGCTCTCATTTCTGCCAATAACAGTGCTTGAAACAATCCAAGAGACTACTGTAGAAATAGAAGGAGCATGTGTCAGTCAGATATCTGTTATGCAAGTGCAATTAAGGGAAGAGCATGCTAAGAAGTTTAGTTAGGTATTGGATGTGATGTAAATAGAAAACAAAAAAGTTATACAGGAAGTGAGAATTATCAGTGCAAACCCAGCCTTATACACTATATAACAATAATAATAAAAATATTTGGTAAATGCAATTAATTTAATTCATAAGAATTCAAAGAATAAAGTATATGAAAAATCAATTGACTGCATAACTATTGCTCAGCTATTTTCTGTCATGCTCTTAGACTTGTATGTATAGCCAGGACCTTTGTTAGTCCTGAATTGAGTAGGGAAGGAAAGAAACCCCCATCAGGGGGTGTGTCCCATAGGGAAGATATTACTTTGCTTTCCATCCTTAAAACAGATCAGAAAGAGAGAAGAAAAAAAAATAGTATTTCCCCTTGTCTTCTGTCTTGACCATGGTCACCAGGGGAAATAGAGGGTCAAATCTCCACAATGGGATGCAAACAGCAATACAACTTTAACAGAGACTCTCTTCTAAATTTAGAAATAAAAGTTCTGCCTTTATATAGACTTTAAATACCATGCATCTAAAAGTTCTTAATATACTTTACTAATATACTAATATAATGTACTGTATGCTTATGAACAAACATAGGAAGCAGATTATCCAGTTATTTTTGGTAGGATACCCTACCCTACCTTGGGTCTGTGTGACATGCACTGCAAAAAGCTTCACAGAGTTTGGCAAATAAAAAAGATGCAGCGAGTATCTTGCTTGCAATGCTTGTAATAACCTGACTAAACTATGAGGCATAATTTCAGAGTAGCTCTCACCAATTTCATTAACATTTTTAAAATTAATTTTCAATTTTATTAAGTGTAGCCAGGTGCTAGCTATATTATTATGCCATTCAGGAACATTTACAGATGAGACTATAGTTAATACTTTTTCCCCCTAGTGCCCAGTACTGAGACTGCTACAGCACTTCCTCTTAGAGTGGATCCAGTTCCTCTGACAGTAGGGGATCCTGGGAGCTGTAGTCCTATAGCCAACACTTACTGTATTTCGGAGTGCTGATTGAACTACAACTACCAGAGAGCTGGGGAACTAGAAAGTTGCTGGGAGAGCAGATATATTCTACATCAAGGAACTGACTTGCTCTCTTGGGGGCAGTATTCAGAGCTGAACACGGGGGACTGGCGTTCTCCTCCAGGGACAGATTGCTGGTTACTAATGTGGGACTCTGCATTAGAGATGAGCGAATCGAAGTAGGCGAAGTGGAATTCGTTTCGAATATTAGAAAAATTTGCGTCGAATCCGAAAATAAGCAGACTTCGGATGCGCGAATCGAATTTTTCCTAAAATGGCGGCGACATGTGCGGCGACGGAGCGGGGATGTCTGGGAAGGCGCGCAGACAAGGCGCGCTGACCCATAATGCATTCATTCATGACATGTGATCGCATTAGCCAATCAGCAGCCAGCCAGCCAGCACAGTGTAATGGTCGAGCTATAAATGGCGGCCATTTTAGAATTCTCCATTTGCCTCCAGTCATTCAACAGAGGCAGACCTGGCTGTATTCAGGGAGAGAGTTAGGGACAGAGAAACGTTACTTAGGGACACAGAAACGTTAGTTAGGGCCACAGAATCGTTACTTAGGGCCACAGAAACGTTACTTAGGGCCACAGAAACGTTACTTAGGGCCACAGAATCGTTAGTTAGGGCCACAGAAACGTTACTTAGGGCCACAGAAACGTTACTTAGGGCCACAGAAACAATACTTAGGGCCACAGAATTGTTACTTAAGGACAGACACAGAATTGTTACTGAGGGATACAGAATTGTTACTGAGGGACACAGAACCGTTACTTAGGGCCACAGAAACGTTACTTAGGGCCACAGAAACGTTACTTAGGGCCACAGAATCGTTACTTAGGGCCACAGAAACGTTACTTAGGGCCACAGAAACGTTACTTAGGGACACAGAATTGTTACTCAGGGACAGACACAGAATTCTTACTCAGGGACAGACACAGAATTGTTACTCAGGGACACAGAATTGTTACTGAGGGACACAGAATTGTTACTCAGGGACACAGAATTGTTACTGAGGGACACAGAATTGTTACTGAGGGACACAGAATTGTTACTCAGGGACAGACACAGAATTGTTACTCAGGGAAAGACACAGAATTGTTACTGAGGGACACAGAATTGTTACTGAGGGCCACAGAACTGTTACTTAGGGCCACAGAAACGTTACTCAGGGACACAGAATTGTTACTCAGGGACAGACACAGAATTGTTACTGAGGGACAGACACAGAATTGTTACTGAGGGACACAGAATTGTTACTGAGGGCCACAGAACTGTTACTTAGGGCCACAGAAACGTTACTCAGGGACACAGAATTCTTACTCAGGGACAGACATAGAATTGTTACTCAGGGACACAGAATTGTTACTGAGGGACACAGAATTGTTACTGAGGGACACAGAACTGTTACTGAGGGACACAGAATTGTTACTCGGGGACACAGAATTGTTACTCAGGGACAGACACAGAATTGTTACTGAGGGACACAGAATTGTTACTGAGGGACACAGAATTGTTACTGAGGGCCACAGAACTGTTACTTAGGGCCACAGAAACGTTACTCAGGGACACAGAATTGTTACTCAGGGACAGACACAGAATTGTTACTGAGGGAAACAGAATTGTTACTGGGGGCCACAGAATCGTTACTTAGGGCCACAGAAACGTTACTTAGGGCCACAGAAACGTTACTTAGGGCCACAGAAACGTTACTTAGGGACACAGAATTGTTACTCAGGGACAGACACAGAATTTCTTACTCAGGGACAGACACAGAATTGTTACTCAGGGACACAGAATTGTTACTGAGGGACACAGAATTGTTACTGAGGGACACAGAATTGTTACTGAGGGACACAGAATTGTTACTCGGGGACACAGAATTGTTACTCAGGGACAGACACAGAATTGTTACTGAGGGACACAGAATTGTTACTGAGGGACACAGAATTGTTACTGAGGGCCACAGAATTGTTACTGAGGGCCACAGAACTGTTACTTAGGGCCACAGAAAACGTTACTCAGGGACACAGAATTGTTACTCAGGGACAGACACAGAATTGTTACTCAGGGACACAGAATCGTTTGAATTAAAGAGTATGTCAGACAACATGCAGAGGAGTGGCAGAGGAGGCAATGTTTTAGGAGCGAGCAGACGTGGCAGCAGAGGAAGGGGTCGAGGCAGCACTATTCGCAGCCAGAGGCCAGTGCTCCCGGTGTCATCCAGAACAGTGAGGAAGAGCTAACAGAGGGCGGTCAGGAACGGGGGGGAGACATCCGCCTCTTCAGCAGCCAGGCGAAGAAGTAGTGGCGAGGAGAGTGGCTCGGTAGCCGGTCTAGAGAGACAGGTCTGTCTCCTGACCCACACGCAGCCGAGGGGGCTAGTAGTGAGGCGGAGACCCTAATTGATGATGATGAGGCTGATCGCACTTGGCAGCCTCGTCGTCATCAGGCTATTGCTTCCGCATCATCAGGAGAAGAGGGTGGCAGCTTGGCAGCGAGCAAAACAGTCGGTGGGTTGTCTCCATCGCCACACTCTGCCATGTGCCACTTTCAGGTCTCCTCACACACTGCTGGCGTGTTCCATTTTTTGTCATAGGGTGCTGTCAGATTACGGGCCTCCCATAGCTGCTGCCAGGCCCCTAATCTGCCATGGGCCCCTGTACCGCCTCCTCATGCTGCTGCCAGGTCCACAGTGTCTCATGCCATGTGCCACTTTCAGGTCTCCTCACACTGCTGGTGTGTTCCATTTTTTGTCATAGGGTGCTGGCAGATTAGGGCCCTCCCATAGCTGCTGCAGGCCCCCAGGCCCCTAATCTGCCATGGGCCCCTGTACGCCTCCTCATGCTGCTGCCAGGTCCACAGTGTCTCATGCCATGTGCCACTTTCAGGTCTCCTCACACACTGCTGGTGTGTTCAATTTTTTGACATAGGGTGCTGGCAGATTACGGGCCCCATAGCTGCTGCCAGGCCCCTAATCTGCCATGGGCCCCTATACCGCCTCCTCATGCTGCTGCCAGGTCCAGAGTCTCTCATGGGTCCCTGTACGGCCTCCCATTGCTGCTGTCTCCATCGCCACACTCTGCCATGTGCCACTTTCAGGTCTCCTCACACACTGCTGGTGTGTTCCATTTTTTGTCATAGGGTGCTGGCAGATTACGGGCCTCCCATTGCTGCTGCCAGGCCCCTAATCTGCCATGGGCCCCCCTGTACCGCCTCCTCATGCTGCTGCCAGGTCCACAGTGTCTCATGGGTCCCTGTACGGCCTCCCATTGCTGCTGTCTCCATCGCCACACTCTGCCATGTGCCACACTTTCAGGTCTCCTCTCACACTGCTGGTGTGTTACATTTTTTGTCATAGGGTGCTGGCAGATTACGGGCCTCCCATAGCTGCTGCCAGGCCCCTAATCTGCCATGGGCCCCTGTACCGCCTCCTCATGCTGCTGCCAGGTCCACAGTGTCTCATGCCATGTGCCACTTTCAGGTCTCCTCACACTGCTGGTGTGTTCCATTTTTTGTCATAGGGTGCTGGCAGATTACGGGCCTCCCATAGCTGCTGCAGGCCCCTAATCTGCCATGGGCCCCTATACCGCCTCCTCATGCTGCTGCCAGGTCCAGAGTCTCTCATGGGTCCCTGTACGGCCTCCCATTGCTGCTGTCTCCATCGCCACACTCTGCCATGTGCCACTTTCAGGTCTCCTCACACACTGCTGGTGTGTTCCATTTTTTGACATAGGGTGCTGGCAGATTACGGGCCTCCCATAGCTGCTGCTGCCAGGCCCCTAATCTGCCATGGGCCCCTATACCCGCCGCCTCCTCATGCTGCTGCCAGGTCCAGAGTCTCTCATGGGTCCCTGTACGGCCTCCCATTGCTGCTGTCTCCATCGCCACACTCTGCCATGTGCCACTTTCAGGTCTCCTCACACACTGCTGGTGTGTTAAATTTTTTTGACATAGGGTGCTGGCAGATTACGGGCCTCCCATAGCTGCTGCCAGGCCCCTAATCTGCCATGGCCCCTATACCGCCTCCTCATGCTGCTGCCAGGTCCAGAGTCTCTCATGGGTCCCTGTACAGCCTCCCATTGCTGCTGTCTCCATCGCCACACTCTGCCATGTGCCACTTTCAGGTCTCCTCACACACTGCTGGTGTGTTCCATTTTTTGACATAGGGTGCTGGCAGATTACGGGCCTCCCATAGCTGCTGCCAGGCCCCTAATCTGCCATGGGCCCCTATACCGCCTCCTCATGCTGCTGCCAGGTCCAGAGTGTCTTCTCTCATGGGTCCCTGTACGGCCTCCCATTGCTGCTGTCTCCATCGCCGCCACACTCTGCCATGTGCCACTTTCAGGTCTCCTCACACACTGCTGGTGTGTTCCATTTTTTGTCATAGGGTGCTGGCAGATTACGGGCCTCCCATAGCTGCTGCCAGGCCCCTAATCTGCCATGGGCCCCTGTACCGCCTCCTCATGCTGCTCTGCCAGGTCCACATTGCTGTGTCTCATGCCATGTGCCACTTTCAGGTCTCCTCACACTGCTGGTGTGTTCCATTTTTTGTCATAGGGTGCTGGCAGATTACGGGCCTCCCATAGCTGCTGCCAGGCCCCTAATCTGCCATGGGCCCCTATACCGCCTCCTCATGCTGCTGCCAGGTCCAGTCTCTCATGGGTCCCTGTCTCCCATTGCTGCTGTCTCCATCGCCACACTCTGCCATGTGCCACTTTCAGGTCTCCTCACACTGCTGGTGTGTTCAATTTTTTGTCATAGGGTGCTGGCAGATTACGGGCCTCCCATAGCTGCTGCCAGGCCCCTAATCTGCCATGGGGCCCCTATACCGCCTCCTCATGCTGCTGCCAGGTCCACAGTCTCTCATGGGTCCCTGTACGGCCTCCCATTGCTGCTGTCTCCATCGCCACACTCTGCCATGTGCCACTTTCAGGTCTCCTCACACTGCTGGTGTGTTACATTTTTTGTCATAGGGTGCTGGCAGATTACGGGGCCCCTCCCATAGCTGCTGCCAGGCCCCTAATCTGCCATGGGCCCCTGTACCGCCTCCCGCTCCTCATGCTGCTGCCAGGTCCACAGTGTCTCATGCCATGTGCCACTTTCAGGTCTCCTCACACTGCTGGTGTGTTCCATTTTTTGTCATAGGGTGCTGGCAGATTACGGGCCTCCCATAGCTGCTGCCAGGCCCCTAATCTGCCATGGGCCCCTATATACCGCCTCCTCATGCTGCTGCTGCCAGGTCCAGAGTCTCTCATGGGTCCCTGTACGGCCTCCCATTGCTGCTGTCTCCATCGCCACACTCTGCCATGTGCCACTTTCAGGTCTCCTCACACTGCTGGTGTGTTCCATTTTTTGTCATAGGGTGCTGGCAGATTACGGGCCTCCCATAGCTGCTGCCAGGCCCCTAATCTGCCATGGGCCCCTATATAGCGCCTCCTCATGCTGCTGCCAGGCCAGGTCCAGAGTTCTCATGGGTCCCTGTACGGCCTCCCATTGCTGCTGTCTCCATCGCCACACTCTGCCATGTGCCACTTTCAGGTCTCCTCACACACTGCTGGTGTGTTCCATTTTTTTGTCATAGGGTGCTGGCAGATTACGGGCCTCCCATAGCTGCTGCCAGGCCCCTAATCTGCCATGGGCCCCTATACCGCCTCCTCATGCTGCTGCCAGGTCCAGAGTCTCATGGGTCCCTGTACGGCCTCCCATTGCTGCTGTCTCCATCGCCACACTCTGCCATGTGCCACTTTCAGGTCTCCTCACACACTGCTGGTGTGTTCCATTTTTTGACATAGGGTGCTGGCAGATTACGGGCCTCCCATAGCTGCTGCTGCCAGGCCCCCTAATCTGCCATGGGCCCCTATACCGCCAGAACCCCGCTCCTCATGCTGCTGCCAGGTCCAGAGTCTCTCATGGGTCCCTGTACGGCCTCCCATTGCTGCTGTCTCCATCGCCACACTCTGCCATGTGCCACTTTCAGGTCTCCTCACACTGCTGGTGTGTTCCATTTTTTGTCATAGGGTGCTGGCAGATTACGGGCCTCCCATAGCTGCTGCCAGGCCCCTAATCTGCCATGGGCCCCTATACTGCCTCCTCATGCTGCTGCCAGGTCCAGAGTCTCTCATGGGTCCCTGTACGGCCTCCCATTGCTGCTGTCTCCATCGCCACACTCTGCCATGTGCCACTTTCAGGTCTCCTCTCACACTGCTGGTGTGTTCCATTTTTTGTCATAGGGTGCTGGCAGATTACGGGCCTCCCATAGCTGCTGCCAGGCCCCTAATCTGCCATGGGCCCCTATACCGCCTCCTCATGCATGCTTGCTGCCAGGTCCAGAGTCTCTCATGGGTCCCTGTACGGCCTCCCATTGCTGCTGTCTCCATCGCCACACTCTGCCATGTGCCACTTTCAGGTCTCCTCACACTGCTGGTGTGTTCCATTTTTTGTCATAGGGTGCTGGCTGGCAGAGCTGCTTACTGCCATGGGCCTCCCATAGCTGCTGCCAGGCCCCTAATCTGCCATGGGCCCCTGTACCGCCTCCTCATGCTGCTGTGCTCCATCACAGGTCTGCCATGTGCCACTTTCAGGTCTCCTCACACACTGCTGGTGGAACTTCTCATTTTTTGTCATAGGGTGCTGGCAGATTACGGGCCTCGACAGATGGCTGCTGCCAGCGCCCTGAAAAATCATGGAACCATGTTGCCGACAACGGCTGAACATGGTGTCTGCTCTGCGTCAAGGAAGGTTGTGCCATGCGCCATGCATGGCTGTGTTCAAATCTGTTGTCAAGCGGTTCCTAAATCCACCATCCCACTGCACTTTCAGGTCATCCTTACATGTCACGTAAACCTTGCATGCATTTTTCAGCATTCCTACACCGCAAAGATTACGGGCCTCCCTTGAGCTGCAGCGGCAGAACGGAATTCCATGGGCCCATACCGCCTCCTGATCTGCGACGTTGCAACAAGGTGGAATTCAACCCTACACATGCCCCTGTAGACCGCCTTTACTGAACAGCGAAAGGCCATCACCGATTTCATGATGGCCACAAGCAGGATAAAGGTACTCCCTGGTGTGTAACTTCGATGTGCCATTGGCAGCTCATGCGTGCCACCTGCCGCTTGCTCAGGCCCTTTGAGGATGGGCCACGCTATTGTGAGTCGGCAGGACTGACCATGGGATGAACGACGTCATTCCTCTGTTGCAGGTCCTGGAACAAATGCTGTTAACAATTTGGCTGGTCATAGGGGTGCGGTAGACGTGGCGCACAGATCTCAACGCCACATGACCCCTGTGGGGGCAGGACAGGAAGAAGAGGAGGAGGGTAGAGGAGGACATTGGTGCTGCTCAGGAATTATTGAGTGAATCAAATCAGGTCTCCTCACACTGGGTGGTTTTTTTTTCCACTCAGCGGACAGGAGTGGAGGAGCAGGAGCATCTGGTGAGAGGAGGAGGAGGATCTGCAGAGGACCCAGACGCACCGTGGCAGTATGCTGCTGTGGAGATGGAGGCAGGGAGTCCCTCGCATTCCTTGGCACAAATGGCCCATAGCATGCTCGGTTGCTTGCGTAGCGACAGCCGAATAATAACCATCAGACAGAGGGATGACTTTTGGCTGTCCATTGTTGCTTGGTGGACCCTCGCTACCGTTCAAAAATGGTGGCCTATTTCACACCTGCTGAGAGGGAGGCCAAAATAACGTACTATAAAAACCACCTATGTAGTCAGTTGGTCTCTGCCTTTGCTGCGCCAACGTCCATCCTCAGACACTGTGGGCCCTGTGCGCTCGCGTTCCGCTGCCATGGCAGCAAGGGGAGGGGTGGGGTGGTAGGAGCAGTGGCAGCTCCACCAGCAGCGGCTGCCTCAGTCTGCAGGATGATGAGTAGCTTTTCTTCACCAGCGCAGTGAGGAAACTATAACCTGCCGCAGCAGCAGCAGCATCAGGTGGCCATGGAGCAGGACCTCAAACAACAGGCTGTGGGCCTACTTGGACAGCACCCTGCCAACCGAGGTAGACAATCCCCTTGCTGCTACTGGGCAACGAAACTTGACCTTTGGCCCCAACTGCTGAATTTGCCCTTGAAAGGCTGTCATGCCCGGCCCAGTAGCGTGGCATCGGAGCGCGTCAGGTTTACTGCGGCAGGAGGTCCATTGTAACTCGCGGCATGAGGACACGACTGTCCTGCCCCCAAAGTGCTGAGAGACTCACGTTTGTGAAAATGAATCAGGCGTGGATTAGTCTGGATTTCAAACCACCATGGGTCCCTGACACAACTGACTAAATGCTGCTGCCATGAATCATGCCCCCCTGCCATGTGCCACTTTCAGGTCTCCTCACACACTGCTGGTGTGTTCCATTTTTTGTCATAGGGTGCTGGCAGATTAACGGGCCTCCCATAGCTGCTGCCAGGCCCCTAATCTGCCATGGGCCCCTGTACCGCCTCCTCATGCTGCTGCCCGTCCTCCTCATGCTGCTGTACAGGTCCATTGCTGCTGTCTCCATCGTCTCATGCCATGTGCCACTTTCAGGTCTCCTCACACTGCTGGTGTGTTCCATTTTTTGTCATAGGGTGCTGGCAGATTACGGGCCTCCCATAGCTGCTGCCAGGCCCCTAATCTGCCATGGGCCCCTGTACCGCCTCCTCATGCTGCTGCCAGGTCCAGAGTCTCTCATGGGTCCCTGTACGGCCTCCCATTTGCTGCTGTCTCCATCGCCACACTCTGCCATGTGCCACTTTCAGGTCTCCTCACACACTGCTGGTGTGTTCCATTTTTTGTCATAGGGTGCTGGCAGATTACGGGCCTCCCATAGCTGCTGCCAGGCCCCTAATCTGCCATGGGCCCCTGTACCGCCTCCTCATGCTGCTGCCAGGTCCAGAGTCTCTCATGGGTCCCTGTACGGCCTCCCATTGCTGCTGTCTCTCCATCGCCACACTCTGCCATGTGCCACTTTCAGGTCTCCTCACACACTGCTGGTGTGTTCCATTTTTTGTCATAGGGTGCTGGCAGATTACGGGCCTCCCATAGCTGCTGCCAGGCCCCTAATCTGCCATGGGCCCCTGTACCGCCTCCTCATGCTGCTGCCAGGTCCACAGTGTCTCATGGGTCCCTGTACGGCCTCCCATTGCTGCTGTCTCCATCGCCACACTCTGCCATGTGCCACTTTCAGGTCTCCTCACACTGCTGGTGCTGGTGTTATTACGGGCCTTTTTTGTCCAGGCCCCTAATCTGCATGGGATTACGGGCCTCCCATAGCTGCTGCCAGGCCCCTAATCTGCCATGGGCCCCTGTACGGCCTCCTCATGCTGCTGCCAGGTCCACAGTGTCTCATGCCATGTGCCACTTTCAGGTCTCCTCACACTGCTGGTGTGTTCCATTTTTTGTCATAGGGTGCTGGCAGATTACGGGCCTCCCATTGCTGCTGCCAGGCCCCTAATCTGCCATGGGCCCCCCCTGTACCGCCTCCTCATGCTGCTGCCAGGTCCACAGTGTCTCATGGGTCCCTGTACGGCCTCCCATTGCTGCTGTCTCCATCGCCACACTCTGCCATGTGCCACTTTCAGGTCTCCTCACACTGCTGGTGTGTTCCATTTTTTGTCATAGGGTGCTGGCAGATTACGGGCCTCCCATTGCTGCTGCCAGGCCCCTAATCTGCCATGGGCCCCTGTACCGCCTCCTCATGCTGCTGCCAGGTCCAGAGTGTGTCATGGGTCCCTGTACGGCCTCCCATTGCTGCTGCCAGGAGGCAGCAGGGTCGCAGCAGTGTCAGTGGAGGCAAACGGCCACGGAGTAGAGCACCAGCTCCACTGCAGCCTACCACCACGGCCAGTAGTGGTGCCGGTGTGCACGGAGGAAGTAGCAGTCAGCCAGTGAGGAGTAGCGGGGGCAAAGTTTCCTACTCGGCGGTGTGTGGCAATTTTTCGTCAAGCCGCCCGAGGAAGTAAACTAGCCGTATGTCGACTATGTGGCCAGAAAGTCAAGCGTGGCCAGGGGGCCCATGTTGGGACTACAGCGTTGCGTCAGCATATGCAGCGTCGCCATTCGGTGGCCTGGGAAAACCGTGATAAAGATACGGCGGTTCTGCCTGCCCCAGCCCAGGGTTCCATTTTGTCATAGGGTGCTGGCAGATTACGGGCCTCCCATTGCTGCTGCCAGCCCCTTAATCTGCCATGGGCCCCTGTACCGCCTCCTCATGCTGCTGCCAGGTCCACAGTGTCTCATGGGTCCCTGAACCGCCTCCCATTGCTGCTGTCTCCATCGCCACACTCTGCCATGTGCCACTTTCAGGTCTCCTCACACACACTGCTGGTGTGTTCCATTTTTTGTCATAGGGTGCTGGCAGATTACGGGCCTCCCATTGCTGCTGCCAGGCCCGTAATCTGCCATGGGCCCCAGTACCGCCTCCTCATGCTGCTGCCAGGTCCAGAGTCTCTCAGTCCCTGTACGGCCTCCCATTGCTGCTGTCTCCATCGCCACACTCTGCCATGTGCCACTTTCAGGTCTCCTCACACTGCTGGTGGGTTCCATTTTTTGTCATAGGGTGCTGGCAGATTACGGGCCTCCCATTGCTGCTGCCAGGCCCCTAATCTGCCATGGGCCCCCGTACCGACCTCCTCATGCTGCTGCCAGGGCCCGTAATCTGTCATGGGCCCCTGTTGTCGCTTGTTGGCATATTCCGCTCGTTCAGATGCTCCTTCTCCTGCTACTCTCCTCTTCACGGATTCCGTCAGCAGTCTTTCTTGGAATCCGTTTCCAAGAGACAACAGTTTGCGAGGGCACCCGACGGTGCAGAAGCTGAACGTCCTCCTGTCCAAGTTGCTGCTGCCAGGTCCTCGTAATCTGTCATGCGCCCTGTACCGCCTCCTCATGCTGCTGCCAGGTCCAGAGTGTGTCATGGGCCCCGTACCGACTCCTCATGCTGCTGCCAGGCCCAGTAATCTGTCATGGGCCCCCTGTACACGCCTCCTCATGCTGCTGACAGGTCCAGAGTGTGTCATGGGTCCCTGTACGGCCTCCCATTGCTGCTGCCAGGCCCGTAATCTGCCATGGGCCCCCGTACCAACTCCTCATGCTGCTGCCAGGCCGTAAATCTGTCATGGGCCCCTGTACCGCCTCCTCATGCTGCTGTCAGGTCCAGAGTGTGTCATGGGTCCCTGTACGTCCTCCCATTGCTGCTGTCTCCATCGCCACACTCTGCCATGTGCCACTTTCAGGTCTCCTCACACTGCTGGTGGGTTCCATTTTGTCATTGGGTGCTGTATGGCCTCCCATTGCTGCTGCCTCCACCGCCACACTGTGGCTCCACACTCTGGTTTTGGCCCCGTGACTGCCCAAATGAGTGAAGTGTGCGGTGATTCTAAGATCGACGGCACTCATCTGCATGTCATACTGACTGACAGTATTATTTCTCTTCCCCAGCAGACTCCAAGGGCATTTAAATTAAAGGTACAGTGTTTGTGGCATGATCAGTCATGTTTTCAATATCAATGCCAACATTTCACAATTTCTGCCAGGGTATGCAAACTTTTGAGCACAACTGTATTTTGTTATCTTTCTGAAAAGCCTCAGTAGGAGACACACAACCCTAGTCAGCTCTAAAACCCAAAAATTTAATATTACAGAATTTGACAGTTCTTAGATGTAGAAGATTAGTTTCTTGTTTAGGTTTTTATATCTTCATTTTTTAACCTGGAGATCCCATATTGCACACTTCCTCCTTCAAGCTGGCCATAGACAGAACGGAATAAAGTCCTTTCAGCAGGGACTAGACAAATTCCAATTGGTGTGCGGATGTTCCTGTTCAACAGAAATTGGTCATTTGATTGAATTATGCTAAGGAGAATGTAGTAAATCTTTCCTTGAGCAGCAGGTTCCACTGTCGGAATACAATTTCCTGATCTGGCAGGGGGATTCCTCCATCCAATTTGTTTGTTTGGGTAGAGGAATCTGTGGCCATCTTTAGTGCACCAATGCTTACTCACTGTACTTTACCAAATGGAGACACAACCTTGTTGCTCTACTTATTTGGACCTCAAACATTTCCCTCACTTCTTATCTCTGTTATATAGAGGGAGTTGTTCTGTAGTTTACAGAAGTAATAGGAGAAGACTGGTAAGATTGTTTGAGATTACAGTCTACTGCTGAGGAAGTTACAAGAAGCTGCAAAATCAACAAGCAACTTTCTCCATATGCAGAAAATGTTCTTAGCCTGAAAAAAAAACATTCAAGAACTGGAAAACATTAATATACTACTTCTTGCTGGGGTAAGATCAGGGGCGGACTGACCATTTTTGGAAACTCGGGCACTGCCCGAGGGCCCGGGGTCAGTAGGGGTCCCCATGAGATGCCCCTGGTACCTTTTTCATAGGCTTTTTTGAGTTTGGGCAAGGACACAGGGGCCGCATGATCCCCTATTGCCCGGGGGCCCCATGAGTTTTCAGTCCGCCCCTGGGTAAGATATACAGGGGTTAGACAAAAATTGGAAACACTACATGATTTGCAGTATCAAAGGTTATGACAGCATATACAGTTTGGGGGAAAACGTAGCCTGCTAAGCATAAGCCTTGGTCAACATGGTCAGCTGACCGAAAGATACAAAAGGATATTGCGCAGGATTGTGACACGGAATAAAAAAACAACGGCTGCAAAAGTGACTGTAGAGCTCAATCTCAGTCCTGTGAAGACGCTTATGCTCATCAGACGATGTTTTCCCAGAAACTCTATATGCCATCATAACCTTTGATGCCATACCCCACGACACGGTAAATAAATTGGTAACTTCAGTCACAGAGGCACCAGCTAAGCGGTACCAACAATTTGCCCGGTTTAAACCTCAGTAATCTCTGACATGACTCGGTATTACTAGCAGAGCACACAATGAATGATGAAAGTAAGGCTTCCCATCTGTTAGCTAGGTGTCTCATCACACAGCAGAAGCAAAACAATGTTATATCACTTCCGCTTTCAACGAGAAAACTATTGCCACTTTCACACCTGCAAATCATGTAGTGTTTCCATTTTTCGTCTAACCCTTTGTATTTGTACTGATACTTTCACTGTTTCACTTCTATGGCATTCTGTGGTCTTTGACCAATCCTGGAAAATGTTAGAAATGTCTGTACCATTAGGAGAGATTTACTAAAGCTTGTGCACACAGAGTTTTGTAACGTTGGCTTGTTCAATTAAGCTTTGAAAGAAAAACCTGGAAGCTGATTGGTAACTGTGCACAGTTGCACCAGATTTTTTGTGCACCAGTTTTAGTAATTACCCCCCATTATGTCCGTTGAGAGCCAAGCCGCACGAGAGAATAAATAATTTTTCTTAGGAATGATCCAGTCAGGACCCCAGTACCCATAGTCAGGTTTAGAGGCTCTTTCCCACTGAAAATATCTCTGAACCTCACAATTTCGGGTCCCATTCGAGGACTTTATATTTCTGGGAAATCTGCAAATCAGCTTTCTCTCTCTATCGCGGGGCACCTTGGAACCTGTCACCCTGCATGGGTGAGAACCCTTGAGTAGGTCAGAACCCAGCTCATGTGAACCAGTGTGCTGATCTTTACCAGTAACTTTATAAAGCATTGAAAGTGACTTCCACCAAACAGTTTCTGGTGGTGACTCGGTTGCTGTCATTTAAAACACATGTTCACCTGAAGTACTTGTTTGGTAAATGCCAGATTCATTGTTTTATAAATATGCCACATGGTGGCTACACTTGGTGGGTTCC